AAAAGATAGTGTTACTGTTGGCCTGAGTTCTGTGTAGCTCTTCCTGTTCTTTCCAGAACTGTCCGAGCTAGGTGCAAAGACCAGTCTAATTTATTTTTGTGGGTATAAGTAAGATAAGATCATTTAAGCGTCTGTTGTTTTGTTTTATGTAAAGCACATTGAGTGACATATTATGCTATGAAAAGTACTGTAGAAATATAGGTTAAAATTATTGTTATTATCCTAAAATACTTCAAACGGGTGTAAGTAGTTTGTCCAACATGAGTCACATGAACATTTACAATTAAATAGTATTTTTAAGCAGAAAAATACATTTAATATTCTCCAGTTCTAAAGTTACCGTCTGTCAAAGTTACCCTGTCACATATTTAGAGTTATGTTTACATTCAGTTTTTCTCAATAAACCACACCAACCTTTAAAACCTATATATATCTAAATTCACAGCAGGGGCACCACTTAACATAGATATACATATACTGTATATAGTATGCTTATCATATATTCTATCAATTAATTGCCACTAGTGATTTTGTGATTGTCCTACTACAAAAATACGTGAAAAGCTAAAATGTTTTGGATTTTCGTATCGTGTATTTATTCAGACATAACCACCGCTATGTGTTTTACCTCCTCTCCTTTTGAAGAATTCTCGTCTCCTGAGCTCTTCCAGAGACTACAGCAGCTCTGACAGTCGCTCCAGCAGCTGGAAGTTACCCACCTCTCTGACGTCCTCCAGCAGGTCTTATGATCGGCCGTGGACTGAATCCTCCCTGAGCAGCAGGAGTAAACTGGTACGGAAGCAGGAAAAACACAACCTGGTCAAATATAGTTTGATATTGATTTGATATTTATGTGCTGGAGGACTTTTACTGATCCATGTCATTGAAATATTTGAATTTATATTATTTATTTATTCTCATATCTGCCTTTATTTTTGTAGACTGACTCTGATGGGCGGCCCGCGATGCGCTCAGGCCTGTTGAATGCCAGCGACGATGGCGATACTAAAAGGGCCAAACTGTCGTACAGCAACAGAGGACTGTACTCTAGAACGTCCGGCACCTCAGTTACTGGATCCACCTATTCCAGTAGCGGGCTTAGCAGTGGCAGAGGTACATAATGCATAGAAAAATAACGGTTACACTCATTTTTGAACCTACCCTCACGTATTAGTGAATAACTCAGTTCAAGTAAAGTGAAGTTCTGATATTTCTCATCAATATTAATCTTATTTGGAAAATAAACCCAGCAAACCTCTCAACAGTTTGTTTTGTGCTTATTTCTTTTACAGGTATAAGTGAAAAACACAACGACGCGTTAGACTCATCATGGAGCTCATGTCGTTTGCTCTCGCTGTCGTCGTCTTCCTCCTCGAAGCCGTTGTTGTCCAGGAGAGAGCAGGAGAAAAAGTATGAACCCAGTCTCTCAAGTTTAGGGGAAAGAAGAATGCGGACTCCTGGAGTGGCTTCCTCACTGTGTATGTATGTTTATCACTTGATGTAAACAAACACGCAGAGGACACGTCTTCACAGTCTCTTCTCATTATTCATTTCAGATCAGACAGACAGGGTGACCTCCACATATGCACAGGGCGCTCGGCCTAAAGAGACTGCCTACTCCTCCTCCTCTTCTTCCTCTTCTGCTGCCAGACAAAGCTCCCTAAATTACCACCTCCCGTCCTCCACCTCCCACCGCTCTTCCCCCCCGGCGCGTGACCTGAACAGCAGAACCACAACCCGATTCTTGAGCGGCTCATCCACCCTCCGCTCATCTCAGGAACAAACAAGAAACCCTGAATCATCCTCAGACATCTCCTCGTCTTACTCCTCCCGAACCCCATGGTACACCACCCCCCTGGTCAGACCAGAAGCCACGCTCCCTCCAAGGCCGGCCCCCGAAGGTGTAGAGCCAGAGAGCCGTAGCTCCACGCGACGCCTCCTGTCCCGTCTTTTTTCACGGCGCTCCAGCCAAGAGTCCTCTAGCGGATCTTCCAGTGTTCGCTCCCTTGACGATGACAGTCCGTCAACTGGAGGAGAGTCCGTGGACGGTGACGAAGGAACCAGGATGTCCAGTGTGGACCCTGACGTTGGAGGCTCGGAGACGACCTTGGGTGGCCTCAGAAATCGTAGAGCGGACCTCGCACCTATCCAGGAAAGCAACAACGATGGCTATCGTAGTAGCCTGGCCGGGTCCAGAATGCCATTGTGGAGAGAGCCTGGTGATGGCAGTAGTAGTAATAACACCAGCAGTGGGGGAGGCAGCAGCTCCTCCTGGCTGTCCTCCTCTTTCCGTGGCCGCTGCCCCCCCCTGCTCTCTCGTCTCAGACGACACGTCAGGGATGACAGTGCACACTCGGCTGCAGAAGAAGAATACAGCCGTCCACAGCATTTACTGAGGAGGTGGGACAACGTGGAACATAAAGCGACACAGGAAGATGATGACGACGAGGACGACGATGATGATGATGATGACGATGACGATGACGACGAGGAGAGTGAAGAAGAGGAAGGAGCAGTTGGTTTAGAAGCCTTTGGAGCAGATCATCCCTGTCGACTGGAGGATGAAACACTACCTGATCTTGAAGATGGCTCCGTTGTATTTCCGTCACGTCGCAGAGTCGCACTGTATGAAAACATTTCAGCTTCACTGAGTCAGTTGAGAGGTGTTGAAAACCAGCTGGAGGAGCAGAAGGACAAACCCACCTCCAGTAGGGATCAGGAGAAGCTGCAAAAGATCAAGGAGAGGTATTTCTTTTCTTTTTTTTACTTAATGTCCTGTTTTAAAGCTATGCTCTCAAAGTTTTATATATGGAGGAAAAAAATGCACTTCATCAGACGTAGAACCTGATTTCTTTTACCTGCTGTAGACTGCTGCTGGAAGAGTCTGATGAGGAGGAGGGCGACCTGTGCCGAATCTGCCAGATGGGTGAGGAATCAGCTTCCAACCCTTTGATTCAGCCTTGCCGCTGTACAGGCAGTCTGCAGTACGTCCACCAGGAATGCATCAAGAGGTGGCTCCGCTCCAAAATTGGCTCAGGTGAATAACGCACCTGTGATGCGGCTGCAGCTTTCACCAGAACTTTGTCGCATCAATAAAGAAAATGATCATTTCTTTGTCTCAGGCACAAACCTTGAGGCCATCACAACCTGTGAACTCTGCAAGCAGAAGCTGCGCTTGAACATAGACAACTTCAACATTCAGGAGTTATACAGGACTCACGTGCAGGTGAGGCCACTTTCATTTCATTTTAGAACATAACACATGTTAATAATAAAGGTGGTAAACCAGAGAATAATTGTATGATTTGTAATTTAGATTGATTAAAACTATTGAATCAGATAACTGTTGCACGGAAGCTGGGGCACTTTATTTAAGGGTTCACATGTTTTTCTAAACCTAAAAACGAGTCAGTGTGCTGAGGTGTGGGTTTTCTTGCTCTGCAGTCAGAATATGACGAGTTCATCAGCAGCGGTCTGTATCTGGTGGTGCTGCTGCATTTCTGTGAACAGAGGTTCTCCGATGTCCTGGGAGCTGTTGACGCAGCAGGGGTGAGGGCACACACACAAACACAAACACACACACACTCAAACACAAACACACTCAAACACAAACACACACAACCACATAAACTAGATTTACCCACAGCGATGATTCAGCACAATGACAGATATTGTTTCTCAACCTTGGCTGAAAAAGCCTCTTGAGTTGTATTGTACTGTTGTCAGGTTACATTACTGTGTACAGAGCTTCCTGTTTTTCTCAGTCTGTGCTCGTGTTGGCTCTGAACCGTCTCACACACACACTGAACCACAGCTTTTCAAATCAATATTAAAGTTGTATAAATGTTGACTGCTCGTCTTGAAAAGCGAACTCTTCCCTTTCTCACCCAGTTATTCAACCTGGTGAGAATCCTTCACGAACACATGGACAATCTTGAAAGTATGTGTCCTTCTCTCCTGTGGTTTTGTATTTGCTGCCAGGGGGATTTTCGGTGTATTGCAGTTTACTGTGTATCCCTCACATATGATTTGAACTTGTGTCGATCGTGTGGCTGCAGACTTTGACTTGATGTGTCTTGGTTGCAGGTCCTCATGGAGAAAGCGACGGGGAGGTGCACGACAACAGACCGTCTATCGAGTTTTCTGACCTGGACGACGATCTTGAAGAGGATTATTAATTATGTGAATGTGGTGGAATGAGGATAGAAAGTGGGTCAGATGATCTGAAGTTGCAGGGCTACTCCACACCATATGGTAGCTCGCCCACTTTCCACACACGCTTTGATGTCGTCACGTTCATCTGAAATAGAACGAGAAACGCCGAGTGCACAGACGCACGTCTTTGCCTTTCGTCGCAGGTGGCTTTTGCAAATATGCAAACTTGAATTGAACCAGTGTGTAAAACATTCTTGTCTCGACACCACTGTACTTGTCTATGAGAGTGCACTTTATTCAATTATGATTAAATGAAAATGCAAGTCTTTTTAACTGTTATACCACAAGTGCTTTAATGTTGATATGAGGTTGATGTAGTGTAGAGTTGTAGAGTTGTGACGGTAAGATTTTCAGAGAGAATAGAAAAGTGGTGATACTTTACTTTTGTTGTCTGTTTTCCTCTGATTATTATTTCCACTGAGACTGTTGAAAAAAAAAACAAATACAGAACTTCTTCATCTTTGTTTCAGTGTCAGAAATGCTTTATGTACAAATCTTGTTTCATGCTTTTAATTTTGGAAATAAAGATTGAATGCTGACTGATAATGTTTTTCTGTTGAGTCTCTTTTTTCCATGATATTGATTTAACACTATCTGATGGTGAAAGCACAACAGACTCAAATATTTTTACTGATAAAGTCAGTCAGTTAGTTTTCAACTTGTTTTGTCATTTCTACTTCCTGCTGTTATTGATGATTATTGATATTGACACGTCTGTGAAGGAAAATACGAGATCAATAATAAAATAATGTGAGATAAAGACATGGAACAGGACTAAAGACGAGTTGAAGACAGGTCATTTTATTAGAAGGACGTTGTACCTGATTTTAGCCGATAGATAAAAAAAAACAACACACCCACCTTTAACATTTGGTTCACACCTTGTATGTACGAGCCGTTTGAGGCTTTTCCAATAACAGAGAAAAACTCAGGCTCTTGACATTCAAACCAGTCAGAGCATCTTTGGTTCGTCCTTGTTACAAAACAAGCATCACATCATTACAAAGCTTTTACAGAAAAACAACCAGTGCAATTCCAAGAGAAATCAAAACTCGAAACCTCATTGTGCTTAAACATAGTGGGAACTGAAGCTCCACGACAAATTAAAGTGCGATCTTGCTCAGTAGTTGAGTGCATAGTAAAGTCAGATCTGAGAGAAAATACAAAACAAATCATACAAACCCTCCGGTTCATTTTCAGGCTAAGATTCTGTGACATGTTCAGCAAGACTAGAATCAGAACAACGAAAACATAATTTTAGTTATTAATGAAACAGGTGAATTCAAATAATCCAGTGGTTAAGAAACACCAATATCTTCTGCAGTTATGACGTTAAAAAGGCACAATCAGTGAGACGTGTTTCTGCTCATTTTAAAGGCACAGACAGTTCTACTGAAACTGACCACAGTGCAGTATCTCAGGACTATGATGAGTGTCAGGTTCACTTCAGGTGAAAGACAAATCTGAGATTTCAAGAATTAAGTCATAATTAAGAGAAAATGGTAAATTTACTAGAATATATGTTGTGAGAAAGTGAGTTTTACTTTAGGTTTCACAAATGACAAGATCCTTCATCTTTCAGCTCCTCAGCACCACTTTATCAAATGTATCACAATTTGATAACACAATGAAAGACATCAGGTCTATTCTGAAGAACCACGGACTTTGAGAATGTTTGGCTCTTTTGTGGAGGAGGAAATGTTTGGTAGTGGTCGACTTAATGTCGGTTAATGTTACGTCTGTGTGATATTCAAAGAGGTTTTGTAGTTTCTCCAGAAACAATAAGATTGGTTCAAGATTTTGGATTCAGACGAACCGGAACACTGGCGAGCACAGGTTCTCCTCGTTGCTTATTTCTTAGAAGATGCCTTTATTCTTGTGATCCAACTGTTTAGTTTTCTCAATAAATTACGTGATTATTCTCGAAAATCTCCAATTTTCTTTTTCATATGGCCTTAATACTCTGTCATGCAATTAAGATACTTTCTCACCAGATACAATTAAACGTTGAAACAAAATTCCCAAACCTGAGTTTCTTTTGGGGCCGTACTTTGGAAGAAAACTACTCCTCACACCGTCGACAGTGAGGTGAGGTCTGGGCAGCACTGTGCGATTATTTAAAGGTGAAAATATCTGGATATATATATAAAACATTTAAAGTAGAAAAAATGTACTTTGAGGTGAACTGTCCATTTTAAAGTCTACGTATGTGTTGACCGATCTGACGATGAATAATAAATTTGGAGTGGATTGTATAATAAATGTTTTTTTATACTACAAATAAATAACTGCTCAGTTTGGGGTCTCTCGTACTTCAGTGCAATTTAACCCTTTTAAGGCAGAATGGGAGGGTTAGACATGTTTAGTCTGTTTGTTGCATATACAGTGTATGTGTAAGTCAACTCAAAATCTTTTCTACAGTCTAAAACCAAAACACCCTAAACGTATTGAAAACATCTCATGAACGTCATCGATCATCACTCACCACCGAGAATCAGCTGGAGTATTTACATCAGCATCTAAAATATCCCAAATGAAGAAAACTGATATTCACAAACAATTTTATATATACAGCTTCAAACAGAAATCTAGGAAGCGCAAGAGCTCAAGCGGGAAAAAATAAATAATTTAAAAAAGGGGGGGGGGCTGAACTTGATCTTTCTTAAAAGTACTAAAATACACGACAGGCTTATCCGTACTCCCTGAGTCTGAAGACGTCAGCTCAGTCAGCGTCTGTTATAATACTGTTGGTGTCGAACTCGTCCAGCGTCCTCTCGTAGCGGACCGTGGAGGAGAAGTGAGCTCTTTTCTTCTTGTAGACGATGAAGCCGATGACTGCGATGAGAGCGAGGAGGATGATGATGAAGAGAACCAGTGCCACAGGAGTGCCTCCAGACTCTGAGGACAACAGAGATAAGTCAGTTCATGTGTCATCACTGGTCAAGATGTCACTGTATCTATCCGTTGTTGAGGTTGTCCCTTGATTCTATTGGATCTGACGGTTCGACCAATCATTCAACAGACTTTCCGAGATATCGCCCTGCGAGTCCTCTGCTGATCCTTTATGAGTGAGTCGGACTCAGCTGCTGTAGAGTGCTATTCACAAAGCTATTACGGCAGTGTCTTTGATAGATAGTTGTATTTAGACGAAATGAATCCGTATAGTGACATGTAAGTTAAAAAAAATGAGTTTAAGAGTGAGAAGTCTCAGATGACGCCTGAACGTAAATATTTAAATCTCTCAAATTTGGCTGCTTCACTTCATTAGAACAACATTTTTGCAGTTTATGTCCAGACATGCTATTCGATTGCTTTCGATTGTGTTTATTCACTTTAAAGTTGTACATTTCTGTGAGGTGCAAATTAATTGTATTTTGTGTTCCATCCTTATTTACTCTGACCCACTAACATCTATACTGATGCTTACACCATTGCAGAAATCTGTTACCTTATCTAAAAAAGTATCCATGTTGTCATCTGAACCAAATAAGTGTATTTTCCCTAAATGCCATGCAGGTGTGACACTCACTGGCTTCGGTTTTGCAGACAACACGACTGTAGCTCGCCTGGCAGCTGACAAAATTCCAGATTCCTTCATCCCCTGCCATCATGACGGCACAGTGGGGGGACGATTTCTTCCCAGTACCCAAGGCCCCAGACTTCCAGTTAGAATAAGCCAGAGTGGAGCCGTCCTGCCAGGATGCAGGCTTACCTACATGGAAAAAAACAAGGAGACGATAGTGGAAAGGAGAAAGGAAGGAGACTGTCATCACTGTGGCACAACACAAATGTCCCAAACAATGCGTTTCTGTGCGATAATGAGTGTTCAAGGTACAGTGTGTAGAATTTTGTGATATCACCCTCTCGTTCCAAACATGAAAAAGAACCTGTGGTAGCTTCAGTTGTCATAAAAACTCAAAAGGTGTTTAGTTTGTCCGGTCTGGACTAATGTAGAAAACATGACGGCCTCCATAGAGAGGGTCCCCTCCATGTAAATATAAAGTATTTGAATATAAAGGGACGTTTCTGGTGTAAAGAAAACTACAATTCATACAATTTAGATGAAACAAACTAGTGAAAGCATCATGAGGATTTTTCTACATTAACTTTCTGCCGATAGTTCCCTTTCACCTAAATCCAAACAATGAGCTCAATGATGAGTGTGTGTGAAACGTGCCTTAGACCACGTTCTGGACCAATGGACTGAAATTTAATCCGACCAAAAGAGGAAGTCTTGGCCCGGATCAAACACAGTTTGGTTTGTTTGCTGTGTGAAAACACTTTTTTTAAATGTTTCACAAACTAATTGCAGCAAGTTGAGCATTAAACAGAAGAAGAAGAGGAAGCTGCTCACAGGATTATTTAGTCTTTGCCTCAGATGATTAAATGTTTGAAAGACGAGGACGTTTGTTTGGTGCATTCAAACCAGTGTCGAGTGCTACGCCAGTTCATTCATTTTCTCCATTCAAACAAGAAGACATCTGCCTAACTACAAACCAATCGTTGTCAAGTAGAGGCAGATGCAGCCCACGTAGGTGATGATGAAGTCTTTAATGTGCTCACAACATTTCAATGTGAAACCAAAACTAACCAGATCAAATGTAAAGAAATGTAACAGACACGGACCTTGGTTCAGACTTACAGGAGAATTATTTGATCCCATGCTAATGTTAAACGATTGATTTAAGCATCCTGGTCATTGTCATAAGCGCAAACTAATGAGGAAAGTTGGTCACACTCTGAATTTAAAGAATTTTTATGTCATAAGTTGACATCATCCCTGTTTCTTCACATGAAAACAGAAAATTCAACAACTTCAGAATCCAAAATGCATTGTTCTACACCGTTCTGTCTTTGCATTAACTAACTCCAAGTTATTAATGATTCTTGTTCATTTTTTATTTAATTTGTGAACTTATATTAATTAGAAGGTTTACCTTGAGTATCCATGTCCATGCCAAGCCATACACGGCCGGTGATGAGGGGGTTATCAGTGATGTACTTTGACACAAAGTCGTTCTCTTCTTTGGTTTTTATGGTCAGCAGTTTGGCATCTGTCACGAGAAAAGAAAAACAACTTGTGGAAAACAGTTGCTTCAGGTGAAAACTATTTTTATAACCTTTCATAGCTGTAACTCACCCATCCTCTGACAAATCTTGCTGGCCTGCTCCATGCTGTAGACGCTGTAGTTGTAGAAGCTCATGTCGAAGGCGTAACAGTGATCCTGATGCTGCACCCACATGGACATGCCTTTGGATGTATCGTTGCTCTGAGGGCAGTGATTGGCCTCCGGGCTAGTGCGCAGTCTGGCTCCTGGTTTAGAACAACACAGAAATAAGATGGATTACTTTATTCATTTATTAAAAGTTCTCAGTACACAGAACACTGAACTGGAGAATTGGTTGTTGCCGTTGCAGTGATCAACAATGTCACTTGTGTGGATGAGTCCCAGCCGCCACTACTGCAGAGCGCTGGTTGCCTGTTTATTCAAGGTTTACTAATACTGAACGTATCACGCTTCCAAATCGTGAAAAGTCCTTGAGATATGCAAAAATCAGATAGGTGTCTTACTCTGGGAGGACGTGGTGACGGGGGTGGTGTAACAGATGGCTCCATCTACCATCGCATTGCAGCTGGTCTTCACCCAGGCTCCAGCAGGCGTTACAACAACACAGACGGCCTCTTGTTTGTTGGAGATAAATCTCTCCTTTGAGTCAGAAAGGTTGTCTTTGTAGTCAAACCTGGTTCCATCAGACCACTCATAGGCTGAGCCGTCCACCTGCATGGACAGAGACGCTGTCGTTAGCCCATCTGCATGGCAGGTTAAGTCAATCTAAAAAACTATGAGCAAAGAATTGCTTGGCACAGCCAAAATATTTTTCTGTGATTATGGTTCAGCTAAATTCTTACTTCCTGGTCCGATAGGCCAATCCAGAGCGGGAAGCCGTCTGTCTTGGCGATGAGCTTCACATGTTCATTGTGCTGGATGTCATGGACACTTGCCAGGTGGCCTCCTCGCTCACCACACTCTTCCAGGGCCTGGTACCAATTTAACTTCCGGGTCACAACACTGTAAATCAGGTTACCGTAATGCAGAAGATCCAAGGCTGTTGTGTTGTAATCTTGTTTTGGTTCTTGGAAGAAGAGGATTTAAAAACACGCAAGATAAATGTCAGGCATGAAATATTTCCAGTGATATATATTATATTAATTGTGAAGTGTGATACACCAACCATTGTCCAGTTTGCAGGTCACTACTGCCCTTTGTTTGAACTCTGAGAAAAGGCCTTGATTTGAGACAAGGAGCCAGTTTCCCCCAATGGTGATTCCGGCCAAGAACGGTCTGTCTACGTCTGGTCTGCCATTCGCCCAGTTGGAGTATTGGACATTTGTGCCGTCATACCACTTCACCTGGTTATCTGCAGCGGAACAAAATCAATATTAATCCTGGTATAAGGACATAAATCTCTGATATTGGGCCAATACACTGAGATTAGTTATGAGTATCTGCTTTGTCAGAAAAATGTATTGCATCCATCCAAAACAACTAACTGAAACAATTGAAAATTGAGATTTGTGATAAAATACCAACCTTTGTTGTCTTTAAACATGCCCAGCCAAACAAACTGGGCCAGGGTTTGAAACGGTAGGAGCTGCTGCTTGATAAACTCATTCTCCTCTGCATTTCGTATAGTTAGGATCTCTGCATTTGGATCTGAAGCATAAACACAGCATCATTAGCAACTTGAGCAACATTAGCCGGTTTCATGAGCAAAGATCCACAACAATAACGTAGTCAAATTCTCACAAAGGTTTTTGCAGGTGTCGTGAATCAATCCCTGGTCGTACTGTTCCCATCGGGAGGCAGCCAGCTGGAAGGAGTAGCAATTGTTCTTGAAGGGGACCCAGTTTGGACCGTGAATCTTATGGGGGCACTTCACTGCAACATCCTCTGGAGTGGTGATGGTCTCCTCTGTAATCAATTCAAAAAAAACTTTACATATTCATTCAGATAATTTGAAAATGTGAATACTTGCCAACATAATCAGAGAAGCAGGGAGAGGATCCCTGAAAAGCTACTCAACCCTCTGCAACTTTGAGGACCTTTTTGGCCTTTTCAGTTTTAATTTTTTTTCAATTTTGGTTGGGTTAATACACAAGACCTATTCAACCAGCGGCCTGCAGGTCAGATACAACCGTTTTGAACATTTCTATGGCCCACAAGAGAGTCTGCAAATCAGGCTGAGTGGGTGATATAATCAAAGGTACTGGGTAAACTCTTAAAAACGTATCTACTGTATGAGACAAACAGGACAAAAAGAGGCACTTATATACGGAGTCACGACACCTTAGAAAGAAGGAGAAATACTGACTAATTTTCTCATGTCACTCCTCTGCAAACAGCATTTAGTTGCCATGTCAGATTCTCCAAATCCTCTTTTATAAAGTTAATATGATGTAAAGGAGCTTCCTGCAGTAACGTATGAGACTGATGTATCCTGGAGTACACCAGGCGTTTCGATTTATCTGTATTCTACAGCTCCACTCACTGTGCGGTTTGTGGCAGATAGCGCCCCCCAGCTCCTCCTCACACTCTGTGGCTTTCCAGAAGCCATCGGTGTCCAGGTAGACACAAGAGCCACTGGTGACATCAGACGACCAGCGATTGAACACGGTGTGGCTGTGGTCGGTCCAGCGGTAGTGGATCCCATCCTGGGGCACAACATGAAAAGGTTTGAGAATCCTGTGGGAAAAGTGGATTTAAATAAAGTGCAGCTTTTCGTTGGGACACTTACATCTTCGCTGAAAAGGCCGATCCACATGGGCGTGCGTGCTCGGCTCACGTGCACAGTGAGAGTGGACTGGAAGAAGGTGTCGGCCACACTTGCCAGATCCATGTTATTTCTTCTGCACTGCTCTAAGGCCTCAAACCAGGTGAGATTATTGGCAAGCAGCTGGATGGTGTGGTTGCCGATGGTGAAGGGCTTTGTGTTGATGTGGGGCTCCTCGATTTTATCTGTGAGGAGGCCAAGTGTTAAAAAATCTGATGTATTTTATTGGAGAGGTAACAGTAGAGACATCGACACTGCAAGCCGGGCACATTATGCTGAAGGCCACTAGCACCATGACAGTTTGCAATTCATTATTTACAGCCCTTTCAAATACACTACATTTCTGGGACAACCATTATCAGGCATCAACGTCTATACTTAATAATCTAAATGAATTTTGTGACTAACCTTAGCATGGCAAACATAGACTAGCTGACTAAGCCACTGGATTTCAGTTATGGAGCAAGATCATGATCATAAAGTGTTGAGTGGAGATTTACCTGCATAGTGTTGGCAAACAGCCACGTTCTGAAACTGTGTACAGGAAGAATAATCCCAGGTACCCAGCATGGCAGAGTTGGGGTTATTGATCAAATACACACACAAATCAATACTCTCTGGATCCCATCTCTAATAAAAAAAAGAGGGAGAAGGCACAAAGAGAAATGCAGTCAAGCATTTTCATCTGTTCTTTTATTACAAGGGATCGTTGTCCACTTGTAACAATAAAGAGCAAAAAGTTTCCGTCAGTGGCTGTAACACAGAGAAGATAACTCATGTGACTCATTTATCACACTAAGATTTCTCCACCAGTTTAATATTTCCCTAGTATAACAAAGTTGAACAGTTAAAAGAAAACTGATTTGAAGTGACATTACTTAAGGCATTTTTTAAAATCTCTGATGTGTACAGTCAGTGGAGTTGTACTTTGTCACAGTAATGCAGTTAAAGTGAACTTACACTGATCTGTATGGCTTTGTGCATGCCCAGGAGCAGGGGGTTAAAGTTGAGGTAGTTGACTGGCGACTCATCCAACCATTCAGGGTCGTTATGTTTGATTTTCAGACCAATCCAGATCCTTTCCATATTTCTCATGCCCGGCAAAAGTGTGGTGATGAAATCTAAAACAAAAACAAGGAATATAGTACAATCATTTTGGGGGTGTTCGAGAAACTATTATTTCTTATTTGAGCAAATTAAATGATAAAACTACAGAAACACAGAACTAGAACCACGGCAGTCCTCTCACCTTGCTCCACCTGATCTGATATTGTGACCAGGGTTCCTCTCGCTGACTGACATTGCTCATTGGCATATTTGAATGACAAAGGCTTCGTGCTGCTCATCAGTGTGTAGCACTGAAATCAGAGAAAACAGCATTACATTAGCACTGATGCCTCTCAGGTTGCATATTAATGTGGTATAATGAACGCCGTTGGTCGCAAACCCGTCGACCACGATTGACTGGTGGATCTCAGCAGTCTGCTGTGTGTCGGTTGTCTGTTGTTCACAATGACGTGTCCACTACTGGCAACAGAGCTGCTGGTTAATCTACTGTATTATGTACAAATTTAAATGTTAGGCTCTAGGGTATGAAGACCTGTATCTTCCTGTGCTGTGATAACAATCAAAGCCCCGTTAGAACAAATGAATGGATTCAGAAAGTGAGACGTTGAAATGCTTTTTCTCTGAAACGGGTTCTGAAGTGTTGGAAATACGTACGTTTGCGACATAGACAGATAAACATTGTGGTTGACAGCAGAATAAACAGATAATTTTTTTTCCACCTGAGTTTGAATGTTTATCTGTTCAATTAATGTCACAATCACAAATAGTTGCAAACCTTTCTCTATGCGTTTCAAAATAAATCAGTTCATTAAAAAAGGGGGGGTTATTGTGAATGATGTCATGCAATGTCTAGAATGTGAATGAATTCTACCTTATTTCTGAAGGATTGAGAGTCATTTCCACAGGGCTGTCCTGCAGGCTGAGGCTCCAGAGGTTTTATCTCCACTGATGTGATGTTGTGTCTCTCACACACAAAGGACAACGGCTGTTGGCAACTCAGTTCGTGGTCTGAAAGAAAAACAACAGTGAATGTGCAAATTAGAGAAAAAAGAATGTAAGCAAATTTATTATGAATCAAATCAAGTAACATGCATCATCTTTTTTTTTTGCTCTCTGTGAGAATTGAGTCAGATTACTTTTTGCTCATTTAACTCTGTTTCATGCTGCTCCAGACAATCAATCTAATCACATTCACATTAATAATTTTGAAAAGTTGTTTTCTGGTCAAAAATTGTGGTAAATTTAGAAATCCCACTCAGGTGAACATAAACACTCTGACATTCACTCACTGGGAAAGAGGTTTTCAGGACTGATGGAGATACATCTGCCCAGGAAAACTGAATGGTAAAAGAACATCTGGGTGAACCTATAACACA